CTGATATTGTTTTAAACAATTTATGGTTTTTTTCAAACAAATTATGGTATTTTTCCATTTATCTAACCATCAATTGGATGCTTGAAAGCTGTCACAACCAAGTTATTTTGATTGACTTTGAAAATGGTTCCAGACAGAAATGTTTTGTTGTTAGGTGTTTATAAGCCACATATAACTTTATTCAAATTTTCATTTAGGCTGCATCCTCACTCTTTTCACAACCTTATTTTTTTAAACTTCCGAATACATGTTTTTTTCTTTTGAGCATCAAGACAATGTTTACTTTGGAATGCCATATTTCTTCGATATAGAAACAAATGATTCTCCTTTGTTGAGTTCATTGATTATTTTTCTGTTATAGTTCTACTTGCTTTCTTTTAATAACCTTTTACATAATTAATAAAAAAAAATAGAATCAAACATTAACCAAATTAAAGATATTATTGAAATTGTTTAGTTCGTTAAATTATATTTGACATAAAGGTACTTGATTTTCAAGCGTTTTAAGTTTCAAATTTGAATTGATGTTTTTGAATTTTTAATATAATAGTCATTAATAAATAAAATTTAATTGAAGCTTAACTAAATCAAATATATCAGTGAAAATGTTTAGTCAGCTCTAATTATATTTGATGCAAAGGTATTTTATTTTCAAACAATTAAAGTTTGGATATTTTATTAAAGTATTGGAAGTTTTATTATTACATGTACTTATATGCAATTCAAAAGAAAAGCTCTAGTTAAGTGAAGATTTTTGCTGAAGGGCCCTAAAAACACTTTTTCTTCACAAAAACCTCACCTAGGAAACATATTTAAATATTTTGTTAGATGCTACTGTGGTACTGCTTTGAAAACTATTAATTCTCTGCAAATATATGCTCTTATTTTTTTCCTTAAATCAACTCCGTCAGGGTTAGTCAGGGTTAGGGTTAGGGTCAACTTGTTTCTCCGCGCAGCGGCCTTGTTCGTCAAGGTTCGTGTTTCGGAGTTATAGAGTTGAGAGAGGGTTATAACCACAAATAAGTAGCCTCCTCGTCTGTAGTGGCCTTCTCGGCCTTGAGGAGGCGAATTAAAAAAAAAAAAAAAAAAAAAAAAACTATTTTAGGTTCCCCAAGAAGTCCTTACAGTCTTATCACAGAGCACTGTGGAAGAGCATTTGAAAGGAAGTTCACACCTCCTTCCTCATAGATGTTGTTAAACTTACCCAGAGGTAGCAATGAACCAGGGATCTCAAGTTTCTGAGGCAAACATGCCATCACTGTGCTATGGGTGCTCAATGAATGATATTTTAGCTGCCAGATTTGGACCAATCTCAAGAAAAAAAACTGTTTTATTTTTCAGTTATGGTTTGTTTGTCATAAACAAGTTTTTCATCAATTAAAAGTTTTTGGGGCTAATTGTTTTTAACAAAAGAGTGTCTTACAAATTTAATTATTACTAACAAATACTCAAAAAATCCACTCAAAGGCATATCTAGAATACGGAAAGAAATGACAATTACTGGAAGGTATCAATTTTTTTCAAAAGATGTCAAATCAAGAAATGTCAGAATTAAAGTGATAGCTGATAAATTTTAAATTAAATTATAAATTTAAAAAAGATTTTATAAAAGACAAAATAAATAACAAGAAGAAGTTGGCTACGCAACAACAATACAAGTTAAAGTGCATTCATCAAAAATTGACAGAGGAAACACCTCAAGCAGTAATGCATATTATCATCCTCCTTCAAATAAAAATGTAGTCTAAAATTGCTTCCAATATATCAGAATATTTAGAAACCTCTAATGATGATGTTAACCCCCCTCCCTGCCTCCTAAAAAAAAGAAAGATCAAGCAATATTCTACTACAGAAACTGCAGTTCATCTAGTGAAAAAGACTAACTTAAGTTCCTCCTCGTCAGCAAGAGTTTGTGAACTACTATCTCACCAAGGTATTAATATTGCTCTGCACTTTGATGGCAAGAAAATTAACAAGCAAGATATGCAAGTTATTGTATTAAAAAATCAGCACTGTAAAATTCGTCTACCAACACTAACTATTAGTGATGGAAAAGCATTAACAATATTTAATAAAATAATTGAGGTGACCAATACCATTTATGGAAAAGCTTTAAAGTTATAATCTGTCATATGACAAGTGTCAATACTGCAGTGAGAAATAAAGTTGTTGATCCAACGTAAATTTAAAAAAAAAATCATTCCTATACCTCAGTAAATAGGATGTCAACATCAAGATTTGGATTTAGTCCTAAAGCAATCAGCTAAGCAAATTCTTAATGGAAAAACGAAATCTCCTAATATATCCTATAATTTTGTGCAAGAAGTCAGTGACAACTGCTCATAAATGACTTTTAACAAAGTGATGTAAAAATAAAATTAAAAAACATTAAATGGTACAACATAAAGCAGTTTTTATATGAATTAGGAAATCCTTACCAATATTGCAAAGAACATGGGTTATTTCCTTTCATTACTTTTAAAGCATTACCTACTGTATGTAATGCAAGGTGGAAATCTAGAGCAATATATGCATTATTTGCTTTTCTGCTACTTCCAGACCGATGTGAACTGCTTGCTGATATTTATGAATTAATTTGTGGAACTTGGTTAGAAGTTTGGTTCAGTGACCATTTTTATAAAGAAGACAATTATGAAAAATTGAACAATGGTTAAAGAAACGCAAGAAAGCACAAACAATTTTTAGGAAACAATGGAATAGCGACAAGTCAAACATAAAGAAGTAACAAATAGTAATTTTTTCTAATAAAAAATTTATCTGAACTTAAATATTTCTAAAACAGTTTTTTAAGATCCTGGGTAAGGTTTTTAAAATGAAATCATAAATGAATGTTAATTTTGTGTGTTTTTATACCAAAACTCATCTTACAGGACCATGGTCATATGAGGTTGCAAAAATGTCATAACCCTAATGTACAGTCTTAAAATATGTCAACAACCTTAGAATACTCTTACAAAGAATTTTATATTTAGTAAAAAAAATTGAAAAAGTATTGTAATAAACAAATTATTTTTTTTTAATTTTACATTTAAATTTAAATCTAATATTTACTAATATATTTTAATAAAATAATAATTTTATGAAAAAAAATTATATATATTTTTTTGTTTATTTATAGAAATAAATTAAATTTTCTTTTTTTTTTTTATTTTTATCTGAATTTATTTCATTTGTAATCAGCACTTTATATGGCGTAATTGTCATTCAAATTTGTAACAAATTTTTGTACATAACCACCATTCAAACTTTTCAGTGGTTTTCATAACATTATTTACTTCTTTTATGTACTCTTTAGGCATCCATAAAAAGCTTAACGTGTTCGTAATTTGTGAGCCGCATAACACTTTAAAACAAGGCCTGAGTTCCTAATTAAAAGAAAATTATTTAAATTTTTTCAATTTTGCTTTGTAAGAGGGGAAATTTCAGGGTCAAAAAAACATACTTTTGATAAATTTTTGAATATTCTACATCTGGTTAGAGATTTTCACATGGTGTATTAATTATTTTTATGGGGTGTATTAATTATTTATACGGGGTGTGAACTGTATAGAAAACCGACTCATTTTTCCAAAATCTTTGTTATTTGTTATAAAAAATAAAATGATTTAATAAATAAACATGCTTTAATGTTCAATAAAGAAAACTATCAGTTTGCAACTCTCTATTACTGGTAAACTAAATTAATACGGAAAAGAAAAAAAACTGCGGTTTTCTATATATAACTTTTTTTTTTAATGCATAAAAATTAATAAATGATATCATGTGTAAAAATTATTTTAAAATATTTAATGGTTTCTTGGATTAATAAAATATTTATTTGGAGTGCAATGCTTAGTGTGATGATTGGATGAGGATGGTGAAAGACCTAATTAAAAGGTGGAGAAAAATCTATATTTTCTATTTTGCAAGCAGCTCTTCACATCAATAGATTATTTAATAAACATTTTAAATTTTAGGTCTAACAATCAAGATAGGTTGTTTAGTTTAAAGCTTCTTTTTACAAAATCTTTTTCTTCATTTCTACAATCAAAGCATACCTATTTAATATTATAATATACCGTGTTTACAATTAAAGGTAATTTTTAGATATTCGCTTAGCATCGGCTAGTCTCAACATTGCTTGTTGAACATCAGACTAATTTATTTCCATTTACTATTTTCTTTAGGATACCTTTTTTTTTTAAAGTATCTGCATGATCCCATACATATGATTTAGTTGCTTTAAATTTTCTTTAGTGTTATTCATGTTATTTACCTGATTTCTTTAGTGTTATTCATGTTATTTACCTAATTTAACTCTTGTTCATTAAATGATATTGTAGAAGTATATAAAAACTTGTATATGCATTTACACTTATGAAAAATCAACAAATAAACAGCACTCAATTAAATGGTTAATTAAACATTTTTGGTTCATAAAACATAATTAAATACATTTATAATAAGGTGCTTCATAAGTTTTTTTTCCAAAAATGACTGTTTTGCAAGTTATTGTTGCATGAGAATTCATTCCAACCAGTTTTAATTTTCTATCGTTATTATAAAAATTAAATTTTCACAGTTAATATTTTGTGATTCTGAAAATAACATTTAATTACAAACATTTTGGTACATAAAGATGTTTAATTTTTACAATTCTATCCATTTAATGAACAAATTTTCATAATGGACTTTGAAATGTTGTTTAGTAAAAGAGCTTATTTTTACAAATGCTAGATCTAAAAGCACAAATTTTGTATGTAGTAAAAAAGGTTTTTTTTGAAATTCAACTTGTGAAATGCTTTTTTTCAGAATGAGTACTTGCGAAATGAACATTAACAATTTTAAATGTTTGTTCTTTTAAAAAATGAAAATAATTAAATAACTGTTTCAGACCTTTTTTATTATGAAAAGAACACTTCAGATAAAAAGATGAAAGAGTTAATTAGAAAAAATTAAAAATATTTTTTTAAACAAAAAAATATCAATGTTTAAATTACTATGACTTCGATATCTGGCTGAAGATTTTTAATAGCAACTGCGCATCCTGCAATCAACCCTCCTCCACCAATAGGTATTACAACTGCATCAATTCCATCAACATCCTCAACAATTTCTATGCCACAAGTACCTTGACCAGCCAATATATCGGGATGATCATATCTAAAAAAAATACATAGTCAAATTTGTCTAGATATTTAAAAAAAAAGTTTATTATGTAGTATTATTTTACCAGACATTTTTGATTCATTGTTGCCTAAAATAAAGACAAGATTTTAACGATTTTATCAAAATTTAATGAAACTGTTTACCAAGTAGTTTTGAAAAACAACATACCCATTAATGTAAACACATCCTTTTTCTTGAACAATCTTTAAAGCAAACTCTTTAGCCTCAATAATATCTGATCCCACAGTATGTACAGTGGCACCATATTTTTTACATCTACTGATTTTAGTAATTGGAGCATTGGTAGGCATACATACAGTAACTGGGATATGCAATTGTTTTCCATGATATGCTAATGCTAATGCATGATTACCAGCTGATGCAGCTATAACACCAACAGCTTTTTGTTGCTAAACAATAAAAAACATAACCATAAAAAAAAAATTGAAGATTTTTATATATATTAATATGCACTAAGAAATAGCCAATATACCTTGGTTAACATTAATAGAGTATTTCTTGCGCCTCTTTCTTTAAAACTGTAAAAATAAAATTAATAAAATTAGTTTAAAATAATCAAAATTTCATTTAAAATGAAAACTTGAATTGTTAAACAAAAAATAGGTAATTTTAAAATATTGTGTGATTTAAAAAGACAATGTCAGTGTACCAAGCTCAAAAATCCAACTAAACATTTGCTTTGCTTATTCTTCAGCATCTATTATTTAACTCTTACCGAACTAAATTTAAAGCCTTGTATATTCTAACTTTTTTGTATGCCTATTTTGTTTCTAAGCTTAGTATTTTTAGATCATTTTTTAAACTTTAAATATTTATATATTAAATTTATTTTAATTATTCAATTGCAACCTACACCTATTTTCAACCTGCTTCATGTACAGCTGTTCATGTACTGCAACCTACTTTATGTCCGTTTGCCATGTAGGATATGAACTTTTAGGCAAAGGCTAGGAGAAGCCAATTCCAACATAAAACACCTCCTGCCTTGGCGCTCTTGGCTGAATAAAGGCTAGAGATAAAGTCTTGATAAAAAAACTTTTCTTGGGCAGATGTTAAACGGACCTGGCTACTGTCTTGTAAATAGCCTCCTAAGCAAAGACTTAAGGGATAAACAGATTTTATGTTGACTAGCCTCGCACCCCTTCTTCATCTTATAGACTGATGCAGACGTATTATTAACATTGTTTCCAGATTAGGATGTTGAATGCAGGATCTTCTAAAATTATTGCATGGGTTTTGCTTGTGTCTCTGTTTTTATGACTAGGCAACTCATTTTATTATCTCCTAATGAGAATACAGCTCTAAAACTCAGTTTTATGGTTCTGAGGCCAGTTAGTAGTCAGGTTTCCAGAACTCTGTGGCAGCTCTCAGAGAGGCTGATCTGGCAGAGAGGCGTAACCTCCTGGATTCAGGCTGGATTGGAAGCTTTTATTCCTTCTCGTCGGTTTCAAGTCAAGCCTCATTCTACTCAATGGTTTTCTCCTTCTTGTGCGGCTGCTATATCCAATCATAACCATTTTTTTCATCTTTTTCAAAAGAACAACTCTCTTGAGAACAAACGGCTATTTATTATTGCAAGAAATCAATGTAAAAAGGTGCTTTCTGATGCTAAACCCCATTATTCTCAGTTCACTAAATCTCGCATCTTATCGCAGAAGTTAGGCTCTAAAGACTTTTGGAAAATCTTCAACAGCATTGTTAACAAGGGTAGATCTAACATTCCATCTCTCATTCATGGGACTGATCTTTTTACCTCTCCCAGGGATAAGGCAGAACTGTTTGCAAAGAACTTTTCTTCTAATTCCACTCTTGAATCTTATGGACATTCTCTTCCTTCCATTCCAGTCAAACAGGTTGATCCATTGTTAGACATTCAAATCACTCCAGCTTCTGTTGTTATCTCAATTATCATATCAAATCAGTCATATCTCAATTAAACTCACCTACAGCTTGTGGTCCAGACAACATTCCTGTCACAGTCTTGCAGAATTGTTCTCCAGAACTTTCTTCAATTCTCTCTAAACTATTTAACAAGTGTTTGACTGAGTCTTGTTTTCCTGCTTGTTGGAAAATGGCATCTGTGGTTCCAATATTCAAAAACTCTGGAGAAAATTCTGACCCCTCCAATTATCGTCCGATCAGTCTTCTTTCTGTTATTAGCAAGGTCTTTGAGTCTTTGATCAACAAATTCCTCACATCTCATCTTGAGTCAAATAAACTGCTGTCAGACAATCAATACGGTTTTCGATCCTCTCGCTCTACGGCCAACTTGCTAACTGCTGTAACTGAAAGATTTTATCGTGCATTAGATGGAGGCGGTGAGGCTAGGGCTATTGCTCTCGACATATCTAAAGCTTTCGACTTTCCATATAAGGGCCCTGCGAATAGGCAGTCTTTGTTTTGAATTGAATCTCAAATCAAAGCAGGTCTTGATTCGCGATATGAATCACGTTTCGAATCAACATTTTAAAGTCTAAATTTATGCATTTTTTGTTAAGTAGTTATTTCAAAATAAAATAAAATAAAGCATATGTATAATCTCTTTATTGATGTTTCTTGCCCTGGTTAACCTTTTTAATGATTGATTAAAAAGGTATTTAAGGATAAGTAACATTATTTTGATAGCGCTAAAGCGCAGAATATCTGAAATATCCACAACAAAAACAGAATAAGTAAGGATTCGATTTTTAAAAATTTTTTATTATTATTTTTTTAAAATTAATATATATATATATATATATATATATATATATATATATATATATATATATATATATATATATATATATATATATGTATATATATATATATATATATATATATATATATATATATATATATATATATATATATATATATATTTGTTGCTGTTTTTTGAAAATGTTTAGCTCAAATTCAATTAGGTCAAAGTTAATTTTTATTGTAGCTGTTAATGAAACAGTTCAATTGTCACCTATTTCATTTCAATAAATTACTTTTCATGAAACGCTTCCATTAAGTACGCAAAACTAAATTATCTAAACTATGATTTGCTCGATTCACATAAGTTGGAATGTTGCTTTCGAACTTTGAAGTGCTAGATTGTATAAATAGCTTAAGTGCCTTTGCTTCTTTTTATTTGGTATAACATGTTGATAACAACTTTGAATCAAGATTGGATCAAAATTGGTTTATAACCTTTGAATCAAACTTGTTTAACCCATAGTTAAACAAACTTGATTGGGTGCAACCAGTTACACTTGGACACACTGGAAAAATGGTTTCTAGTTCTCTGTAGATTTTAGAACATTTTTGCAGCTATTACATGACTAATTTGCAATATTTAAAAGACTCTCATAGATTAAGCGAAAAGATATCTACCTCCATAATTGTAGGAAAGTCTTTTAAAATGTGTTTAATATATAATGATAGTTTACAACTTGTACACCCAACACAAACACACAGTGGCACACCATCCTTGATGTAAGCTTTTAAACCTTCATTTATATCAAAACTGATGCTGGTTTAGATATGAAATGTTCTTTTATGATGCCATTGTGTTCGATAGTGGCATATGTAGTTGATTGCTCAATTGAAGTAGTATCAGATATTTCATCCAAATAAAAAGAAAAACTCCCACTATTTCTAAGTGACTTGAGCAGAGGATTTTTGACAAATCAAAGATAATTTTAATATACTTAGCAATATATTACAGAGACATGTATATTGCATTTGCTGGGCCAGACAAACATGTGTCTTAACTTCCTTATTAAGACGCATGTTTGTCTGCAACTGCACACAGTAATAAGTTCAATAATATCTAAAAATTATGAGTTTGTTCCCAGTTTTTCATGATTAACAAATGCGTGACTTGTAAGAAGGTTTTAATAGCGAAGCAAAAGTTGCTTGTTATGAATGCATATTTTGCAATGTTTTCACGTAGCATTTTCCAGACATTTGAGACTTGCGTATACATTTCATCTAACATTTTAAAGCTATAGTATGCCTATGCATAAAAATTTTATATTTTTGTTTAAATTTTAATCTCAATATTAGTTCTTCAGAACTTTTTTAATTTTTTCATTTAGAAAAGAAAGTTTGTTCACATTTAAAAAATTTATGGCTGATTTTTTTTTTTAATATAAAACAATTTTAAAAAAATATTTTCAAAATGTTGAACACGTAATACTAAGAGAGATCGTTTTATGAAATGTTACTAGAACAATAAGCTATTATTAATTTATTATTGTTACATAAAACAAACTTTTTACTAAAAATTTATTTTTAAATATAAACTTATAGAATTCCTATTGTCTATTCTATTGTCTAATTATCTAATGAATCAGATAAATTCCTTTTTGCATAAAATTAATATAATTTTTTTTTAAAGAAAATTTATGTATAATTTTATTTTCATACAAAATCAATAAATTGAAGAGTTTTTTCTTTTCAATAGGTGGTTTTACCTCTGATCCTGCTTGCGTTAAAAATTAAAAAGGTGCAAGAAAAATAAATAAAATATTGAGAGAAAAAACAAAATAAAAACAAAGTACAGTTGGAAGTGAGAAATGTTCTTAGTTACATACAATATTTTAAATAATAAAATAAAAACTTTAATGTTTAAAGTTAACAACATTAAAGAAGAAAAATGATTGTGCATTTTTATTTCTCTTCTTATTAAAGTCATTTTAAAAACTTCTAATGTTAAAAACTGCAAATGTTGAAAGCAGCTAATGTTAAAAACTGCAAATATTAAAAACTGCAAATGTTAAAAACTGCAATTGTTAAAAACTGCAAATGTTAAAAATAGCTAATTTTGAAAACAACTAATGTTAAAAACTGCTAATGTTAAAAACAGTTAATGTTGAAAACAGCTAATGTTAAAAACTGCTAATGTTAAAAACTGTTAATGTTAAAAACAGCTAATGTTGAAAACTGCTAATGTTGAAAACTGCTAATGTTGAAAACTGCTAATGTTAAAAACTTCAAATGATAAAATCTGTTAATGTAAAAAACTGTAATTAACATTAATGCTATTAACTCTTCTTCACAAACAGTATTTAAACTGACTATTCAATTTTAAGAAGTCAACTGTTTTATGAAACACAAAAACTACTAATTTTACAGAAAACAAGATTTTTTACTAAATATATACATATGTATATACTTTTTAAGATTCCAGAAAAAAAAGCGCCAACACACAATTAGTAATTATAAATTTTCCTATAAATCATTTAATCATACATTTTAATTAGTGGCAAAAACTAATGAGAAAATAAATGAAAATATTTAAAGGAAAAAAAAGAAGACAAAGTACAGTTGAAAGGAAAAATGTTCTTAGATAAATAAAGTAGACACTATATGACTATATTATTATTAAAATAATGTATTAAACATTTATATTAAAATAATAATAAAAAAAGAAATTCAATCATTTATGAAAAAAGGATTTTCACAACCAGTAAAATGAAAGTAATCTAAATAAGTAAATATAACATCAATAGATATCAATAGATATTACAAAGATTAATAGATATCAATAGATATCACAAAGATCAATAGATATCAATAGATATCACAAAGATCAATAGATATCAATAGATATCACAATGATCAATAGATATCACAAAGATCAATAGATATCAAAAAGATCAATAGGTATCAATAGATATCACAAAGATCAATAGATATCAATAGATATCACAAAGATCAATAGAAATAGTCAACTGATATAGTCACTTATAATATTCATCAAGAAAATATTTTGTAAACAATAAAGCTATTTTACACTATTTTAAACAATAAAGCTATTTTCAAAATTTAAATGATTTTATGAAACTTTAGTAAAGTGTTTTTGCAAACTACATCCTGATTAATAGTCAAACTCTTTTTTTTTTTAATCAACCGGCGAGAATTCATTTTAGGAGGTCAAAAAAGCAATTTTAGTCATATCAAGCCCTGGTTGACTCTTGACTGGTCATTATTTTCCATGCTGCAAACAACAACAAAAAATTGGGAAATATTACCTCATACCTTTCTGTTGTTTTCAGTCATAGGTCATCTACATTTGAGTGGTATTTGTGCTTTTGAGTGGTATTTGTGGCGTTAGATCTTTTTTTTTCTTCCAAGAACTGAAGATCTTGAAGAAAGAAACTGCATATACATTATTTTCACTTACTGCTGATTTAGGCTAATGATGACTTTTGCTTACTAATGATACAAATTGATAAGGACTTTTGTTTACTTCTGATGTGACTGATGAGAACTATTGCATACTACTGATGTAGGCTGATAAGGACTTTGGCTTACTACTGATAAAAAAAATGATGAGGAATTTCGATTACTACTGATGTAGACCAATGAGTACTTTTCCTTACTACTGATCTGCATGGTTGATCATAGTTTTGAACACTAGATGTTTCTTGGGGTTTCTCAAATAATAAGACAGTAATAATTTGATTTAGTTTCATTATATTTCTTTTTAAAATAGTTACAAAGCCATTATTAGAAGGCATTTTGTTTTTGCTTTTATTTTTATTTTTAAAATAGTTAGAAGGCCATTATTAGATTCTAAATTGTTAACAAGTAAATTAGAGACAAACTTCGATGTGTTGTAACTTTTGCATTTGTAAATTTAAAACAAAGTTTTGAATTTTGTATTTGTAAATTAAACTTTCTTATTTGTAAATTAAAAAAAGGTTTATAAAAACTTTGTAAATATAATATTCTTTTTCTATGTTTTACACAAAAAAAAATCACAAATTATACCTTTTCATTGCAGGCTTATTTTTGGATTTTTTTTATGTTGTTATCTTTGGTGCACTTTACCAGCAAATTTAGTTTCGGTGCACTTTATCAGAAAAATTTATTTAACCAGCAGTATTTTTATTACCTAATAACATCCTTATCTTTTTTTAAATTATGTTCAAAGTGGCATTAACCTCCACAAATATTATTTTATAAATATTATGCTAAAATTTTTTATATTACGCTAAGATTTTTTTAAATTTCCTAACAGGTAAACAGATAAAATGCACATTTTATCAAATCAGATTATATCAGATATATTATATCAGATTAAAGCAGATTATAACATACCATATCAAACATTCCTAAAAATCAAACAGCAGTAAAAATGCAAATAAAAAATTAAAAAATAACATTATAATAAGAGCAATCAAAAATCTAAACTAAAGAACAACTAAAATCAATTGACTATAGATGATTCAACCCTTGGAATTAGGAAAAATGAGGTTAATAATAATTTGCTGACCTCAATCTTTTAGAGGTCGACATCAGATCAGCAAAAAAAGTTTAAAACCATTTTACTATAAAACATAGAAATGTCTTACCATAAATGTCTTACCAAAAAACATAGAAACAAGGTTGGCAATTTTTTGCTGACCTCAAACACTTTTAGGACAGCAGTTAGGTCGGCAATACAGTAATTCCTGATGACTATATTACAGTGAGATT